TTTCGGTGTGTGAGCTCTTGCTTTGATTTTATGAATTTGTGTGCAGTTTCAGTGCTTGAATATTCAATATCTGCATGGATGTTTTGAGCAGTATTGGATGTGATGTATTATAATTTCTATTATTGTGTTTTGCGAGGGATCGCAGCAATAGTGGTATTTAGGGCTCTCAAACCTAACTTTAGATGAAGTCACATGATGGAAATGCCTCCTTCTAGCTGACGAGTATGCTTTCTGTCAATGTCAGCCTGTGCTATGATACACTTAAAGTGGTTTTTGATACATTGTACTCGGAATAGGTTTGCACCCTGATGAAGTCTGAAAGCCCGTGTTGTACATACGCCGCTGTGCCACGCCGCGCCGGCGCTAGTCTGGGAGTCGGTCGGCCGGCGCCCCTGCTCAGACTGCCGCCTCGGGCCGCAGGCGAGACGGAGGAGGGCGGCTGCGACGGCAGCTGTCAGCGGCGCGGCGGCGGCGCGGCCCACACCTCTGGCGACGAGAGCGGCGCGGCCGGCGATGAGAGCGGCGCGGCTGGCGAGCAGGCCGGCCCGCGGCCCCGCCTGAGGCGGCGCTCCTCCCGGTACCGGGCCCGGCGCCACCAGGTGCGGCGCAGCGCACGGACCGCTGACTCGGGTCGATCTCGGCTTGCAGTTGACAGAGGCTGCCACTTGGACCGGTCCTCACGCGTAGTGTGGGACAGGTTTGTCCTCGGGCTAGCTCCTTGTCAATCTGCCATGCTGTGTTGCTGATAAATACAGTATCTGGTGCGGGCTGTAAGGGTTTAGACTGTATAGGCTACTGTGGCAATGGCACCAACGTCCCCAGCGCGTGCCACTCCCACGTCCTGTCGCGCCTGCAGGACACGCACGAGGAGACGAGCTCGATGATGAAGCGGGCGCTGACGCTGCTCCAGCTGGTGACGCTGACGCAGTTCGGCTGCGGCGCCCACCACTTCAGCAGCAACGAGCTCAAGAAGACCTCGCGCGGCAACCACTGGGGGTGAGAGCTGCGGCACCACCGTGCTGGGCTCCCGGGCCACGAGCCACGGCCCGCCACTATCCGGTGACCGTCGGCATGTCTGGCAGCGTACTAGCCGCGCGACGGCGTGTTAGTGGGATGATCAACGATGGCGTGAATTATGGGGTGGCGTGTGTTAGTATGGCTGCCTCGTTGCTGGCGTATGGTCGCATTTCGACCGCGCTCATGACGGTGCATGTTGACGTGTCCTCTGTTACGCTCGGCAACAATGTTATTGATACCTTTAGCGGTGACACTTTCGGCATGTCTTCTGGGCAGTGTGCAGTGATGGGATCAAGGAAGAACCGCGCCATGCTCTGCCCTGGATGTTGTGTCGCGTGTTGGTTTCGCTGCTCTCGATGGCCTGTTTGGGTTCAGCTGTTAGTGCTCACTGGGCTGCTGTCAACGAATATTTTGCGATCATTATGGGAACGCGGCGATTTTCAGCAGTGTGGTGTGCGGCGATGCCATACAAAAGACCGGACCTCTATAGTGACGATATTTTTAGCGACCTTCAATGAGCCGACCTTCCTGGCTAAAGGGTTAGTCCAATGTGACATATAGCATCCCGGCGTAACGTCATCTGGTGATGGTAATGACTCGACCTCCCCATGGGTGGGTGGCGACCTCCTTCGTTGACTGCCAGTCAGCAGCGCCGTGAGTGACCTGACCTCGGTCGTTGACCGTCAGTGACCTGCGCGCTCGGCTGGAGCTGGCCGTGTCGGCCGTCGCCGAGCTGGCCAAGGAGTCGCTCCGGCAGCAGCAGGCCTCCGACATGGGCACGGACGACTCGGACGGCTCGCCGCCCAGCGCCCGTGGCGACCGGCTGACGCTGGCCGTGCGCAAGGAGCTGGCCGTGGCGCTGCGCGACTTGTACAGCACGGCCTGCTGCAGGTGCGGCTCGGCGCCGGCCGGGCTCGCCAGGGGCGTGGCCTCACGCCGGCGCCGCTGTCAGAGGCGGGGGAGGGGGAGGGGGGGGGGGGAGCCGGGATGATCTCTGCCCGGGCTACGGTGCCAACGCTGCCGCTATGGCTGCAGTGTTGTTGGCCACAGGGTATGAAATGATGTGCTTGTGTTCCGCTCTGCTGGTGGCGTAGCTAATCAGCGACGGTATGCCACTGTCTTTTGTGTGTGGTGTGTTTTTTTTTTTTTAGGGAGCACCTGCCCTGTAAATGATACATGTGATCCCCGTTTTCTGCGTAGGCCTCGGTACTCTGCAAATATCTAGCTTGCCTGACAGTCGCCTTGCCTCTAAAGCGTCAGTCGCCGACGGCGGAGCCGCTGCTGGCCGGTGGGTGACGTGCCGCTGCCGCGCCGTCAGACGAGCCGGAGCCGGTCGGTGGTGCCGTTCGGCGGGTGTCTGCCGTCGCGCACCGCGCCGCCGCGCCTGCTCCACGCCTGGGACCTGGTGCTCGTCTACTACCGGCTGAAGCGCGGCGTGCAGTACAACGCTACGCCGCAGCGCCGCCTCTCGCAGAGCTTCGGCCTCTCCGTGGTCGGAGGCACAGCCATCACCAGCAAACACGTGAGCGGCCGGCCCGCCACGGCGCGCGGCCGTCTGGAGCGGCTTCGGGCGACACCCCGCGTGGGGGGGGGGGGGGGCAGCGGGAGGAGCGACTTCGGGCGGCACCCCGCGCGGGGGGCTGGAATGGGACGGGCGGGGGGCTGGATGCTTGGACGGCACCCCGCGCGAGGGGGGGCTGGAGTAGCTTTGGACGGCACCCCGCGCGAGGGGGGGGGGCTGGAGCGGCTTCGGACGGCACCCCGCGCGAGGGGGGGGGGGGGCTGGAGTAGCTTTGGACGGCACCCCGCGCGAGGGGGGGGGGGGCTGGAGCGCTTCGGGCGGCACCCCGCGCGGGGGGTGCTGGAGCGGCTTCGGACGGCACCCGCGCGAGGGGGGGGGGGGCTGGAGTAGCTTTGGACGGCACCCCGTGCGCGGCCGTCTGGAATGGCTTCGGGCGACGCCCCGCGCGGGGGGGGGCTGGAATGGCTTCGGACGACACCCCGCGCGCGGCCGTCTGGCAACGGCTTCCGGACAGCACCCCGCGCGGCAGGCCACGTGCGGAGCGGGAGCTGTCCGGCTGGGTGGTGTGGATGTCGGGCTCGGCCGTGGTCGCGCGTTCAAAAAAGTGAATGAAGTGAAGTTGGAAGGCGTTCAAATATAAGCCTATCTGTGGGCCTGGTCGGGATGGCCGTAGAAGTTGTAGAGAAGCCGGTCATGCGTTCAACGGAGTAAAGGCCCCGAAGCGACGGCGTGTGGGGCTGACCAGCCGTCGCCCCGCCGCAGACGCTGCTGAGCGCCGTCGGCAACATTATCGCCAGCCACACGCCGCTGAAGCGGACGGCCGACGCTCACTTCAAGGCGTTCGTGTGCGCCGGGCTCAAGTGAGTGTGCCAGCCCGACAGCTGAGGTTGCCTGATGACCCGGTCAGATGTCTCTGCGGGGGGATTTGCCTGATTCAGCGCGGGCAGGGTTGGCGTGCTCGTCTCCGGCCAGCTGAGATCGAATGGCAGTAGCTGGCGAGGGGACTATCGTGAGCCTTGATTGGGGACCTGGGTAGTTTTGTTGCGAGAAACTGTCGTTTGGATTATTGGCAGTCGCGGCTTTGCCGAGGAGTAGAGGTCCGAGGTGGCTACCTTTGGATGCCACCACAGAAAATGTGGTGGAATTGAACATGTTCAGTTAGTCCGTACTTTTAATTCGCCCTAAATATATCTCCTTTGATTATTAATTGTGATGAGAACGACACCGGGTGGTGCGCTATTGTCATCCTGTCCCGGCCAGCGCCCCGAACGCTCAGCTCCTGGCTGCGCCTGATCCTCAAGTGCCAGGCTATCACGGAGGAGTACTACCAGCCCTGGAGCTACGTCATCAGCACCGGTCAGTGCTGGACGGAGCGAGGACGGCTTCATTGGGCTCGAATTGGCTGAACGAAACGTGTTCGCGGTGAACTGATTTAACGTGAAGCCCGTGCAATTACACATGCTCATCATATGTGATGGCCTCATGGTCGATTGTGGTCAGTAACATATTCCAAATGGCAGACTATTTCAGCCTGTGAGTGCGATAAGTCAGCACTGTCGCTCCGTCAACTGCACAGCTCGCGACAGCATGAATGAGCTCCGAGAATGGCACTGCAAAGCCGTCAGCCGTGTGTGTGGCCGCTAGCCGTGGCAGACTGCTCCCTCCCAGCTGACGGCCGTTCGCCCTGTGCAGGCTTCGACGACGCACTGAGCTGCGTGGCGCGCCTGGAGAAGCACCGCTTCCAGCTGCCCGAGGACCTGGCCGTGCGACAGCTGAGGGGCATTCGGGACGCCTTCTGAGCGGCCGGGCGCCGACAGGGTCGCGGGAGTGGGGCGGCACGTGCCGCTGCGGGGACGCCGCCAGTGGGCCCGCTGCCGGCCGAAGACTGGGAACAGAGGCGGGCTTGCGTTCGGCCTGAGAAGTATGTGAAAAAATATGAAAAATGGACGCGAGCTTGCGAGCTTACGCCTCAACCTGAGCTTACGAGATTCCTGTCGGTGTTGTCTGTGGGGTGTGGCGCGCGGGGGCGCCCCGCTCGCGCAGGCAGAGCTGTTACTTACCTGGGTGAGCGCCGTGGGGTTGGGGCGGTGGTGGACGGGGTCAGCGTAGTCACAAACAGCGCCCTAATCATGTAAACCGGAATGTATTTATTCGCATGCTCTACATGTATGGACAACACAAGCCAACCGGATCACTTGGAGCCAGTTTATTGAAACTCCGGCTGAACGCCACGCGAAAGAAGCGGAAGCTGACGGTAGGCGAACGAGAACAGGCGGGCCGCCTCTGAGGACGCCGCAACTGGCGGCCGGCCGCCGAGATGGTCTCGCCAGAGGCAAGCGGCGGCGGCGGGTCGGCGCGGACTAGTGGAGGGCGGCGCGGAGTGCGCAGGTGCAGGATCACGCCGGGGCGGGCTCCTCGGCTGCCCGGCGCTGCCGGCGTGTCGGTCTTCTCTCAGTGTCAGCCTCGCCGCCGCCGCCGGTCGGCCGGCCCGCCGTTGTCGAAGTGCCCGATCTGGAAGTCCTCATTCTTCTTGGTCGGTGCCTCCTGCGAAGCACACGCGTCGGTCAGAGCCCGACCCACGAAGCGTTAAAACACGACACGGGGGGGGGGGGGAGGCGACACTGCGGAGCGCGTTATACCCGCACCACGAAAAGCTACCGTTTCAGCAGCGTTTGAGGCTGGGTCCGACGCCAGGCATACACAGACACAGACACTGACACACGCCACATTGACATCGCCGAGCCGCGATGCCAACTGAGCATTAGTCTCCACGCCACATCCTGCGTTGGACCTGATCGCCCCGCCCACCGCCCTGCTGTTACCGCCACTCACCCGCTCCTCCATCTTGGACAGCCGCTCGAACATGTTGGCGTAGATCTTCTTTTCGTGCGCTCTGGCGGCGCGGATCTGCTGGGCGCACAGCTGCGCCTGGTGGGCGGCCGCCTTGTTCTGCGGATCCAGCTGGATCACGCGCTGGAAGTCGGAGCGCGCCAGCTCCGGCTCATTCATCTTCACCAGCGCCTGCGCGACGGGCAGTGTGTGTCAGGTGACGCAGCGTGCCAGCGGATCGCCCACGTCATTTCGGTGCCGGGGACAGGCCAGCCGGACCGCGGGTGGCGCCGGGGACCGGCCAGCCGAACCACAGACGGTGCTGGAGACCAGCCAGCCGAACCACACGGCGCTGGGGACCAGGCAGCCGAACCACAGACGACGCTGGGGACCAGCCAGCCCGAGCGCTGGCGGCGCCGGGGACCAGCCAGCCGAACCGCAGACTACGCTGGGGACCGGCCAGCCCGAGCTTAGGTGGCGCCGGGAACCAGCCAGCCCGAGGGCTGGCGGCGCCGGGAACCAGCCAGCCGAACCACAGACGGCGCCGGGGACCAGCCAGTCGGACCGCAGGAGGCGCCAGGGACCAGCCAGCCGGACCACAGACGGCGCCGGGAACCAGCCAGCCCGAGCGCTGGCGGCGCCGGGGACCAGCCAGCCGGACCACAGACGGCGCCGGGGACCAGCCAGTCGGACCACTGGCGGCGACAGGGAAACAGCCAACCGGACCACACAGCACGACATGTGTACCGCGGTAACGGATGGTGAATGTAGCGAGAAACAGACACCGCGCAACACGGGTACACACCGCTATTTCTGATGATCTAGAGAGGCCGGGCCCACTGTATGCGAGTTGCTTACCCTCTACACCTGAACCCTGCGCGTCATGAGTTTGCACGACCTCAGCAGTAGCTCGTGGAGAGCAGCCCGGACAGTGCAAATGGGGCGAGGGGCATCATTCAGCTCTAAACGCCTTTCGCGGACGTCGTACGTTCGTGAGATCCCCGCCGGGCGGAACTCCCCGGGACATTCTCTGCTTGCCGAGATGCCTCCCTCGAACGTACCTGCCCGCGCCGGAACAGGCCCTTGACGTTTGTCGCGGTCGATTGTCCAGGGCCTTGTCGCAGTGTGTCCGGGCCCAGACAAAGTCGCCCAGTTTGATGTAGCACATGGCCAGATTGAGGTGTCCGGCCAGCTCCACCTCGCGGGCCTGCGGCTTCTCCTCCTCTGACCAACCTGGCGGCGACGGCGCCGAACGTCTCAGCGGGGGCCCCAGAACTCGCTCGGGGCAGCAGGGCCACAAGGTTCGCCCGGGGCAGCGGGACTACACAGCCCGCTCAGGACAGCGGGACCACACAGTCCGCTCGGGGCAGCGGGACCCCGCAGTCCGCTCAGGGCAACGGGACCACACATCCCGCTCAGGGCAGCGGGACCGTACGGCCCGTCCGGGGCAGCGGGACTACACAGCCCGTCCGGGGCGGCGAGACCATACAGCCCGTCCGGGGCGGCGAGACCGCACAGTCCGTCCGGGGCAGCGGAACCACACAGCCCGTCCGGGGCGGCGAAACCACACAGCCCGTCCGGGGCAGCGGGACCACACAGCCCGTCCGGGGCGGCGAGACCACACAGCCTGTCCGGGGCGGCGAGACCACACAGCCCGTCCGGGGCAGCGGGACCACACAGCCCGTCCGGGGCGGCGAGACCACACAGCCCGTCCGGGGCGGCGAGACCACACAGCCCGTCCGGGGCGGCGAGACCACACAGCTCGCTCGGGGCAGCAGGACCACAGTACACTCGGGGCAGCGGGGCCCAGGGTCGGATCACGTTAGCACGAATCCCGTCCGCTCAGAGCGGCGCGGATCAGACGGGGCAGGGCAGGTCGGCTGGTACGAATACGGAGAGCAAACTTGACGCACACTAGCCTATACAGCTCCATGCCAGATTCCAAAGTTGTTTCACTTCTGCAAGAATTGCTGATGAGACAGCTGCAGCACACGCTAATGCAACCTGACGAAAGACACTATCATGAGAGGCTAAAACAGGAAAAAGCATAAGAAATGACACAAATATCGCGTTTTCTAGCAAATACATTTACTTTCTCCTACTCTTAGACTCCAGCCGAACTAGGTTCTGATACAATGGGTTTGGAGCATGCCATTGGAGCATGGAGGTACACAGGTGCTTAGGTAAGTACGTCGCCGTCATCGTTCCAGGCTCCTGCGGCTTACTGTTCTCGAATTCCAGGAAATCCACGCAGCGCTTGTAGTTCTTCTCGGCCAGCTGATATTTTCCCGCCTTAAAGTAGTTCGTGCCCTTTTCTTTGTACAGTTTGGCCTGCTCCAGCTTTCCGGCCGCGTCGAACTCCCACCGCTCCTTTGCCTAATTGGCAGACAGCATACTGTCAAGGTCTCCCACGAGCCACCTTCTGCTCCAACCCCGAAACCCCCAGCAACGCCCCTGCCATTTGTCGCTAACTCTGCACGTAGAAATCACAGCGGCACGGTCAGCGCTGGGGCACTGAAGCGCCGGGATCAACCAACGTCAGTTCCTGTCCCTTCGATCACTCTGGGCACAACCCCACCGATACGGGTGCGTGGTCGCGTCAGGACAAATTGCGGGAGATGACGTCTGTACAGGCGAGCACGCAGCACCACCGTGCCCGTCCGGCAGCGCCGGCCGCTCGCCTCGCTCACCTTCTCGAAGCTCTTCAGCTTGACCTCGTACTGGACGGTGGCGTCCGCCGGCACCTGGAAGGCGGCGCTGCCGGCGGCCGCCGAACGCGTAGGGCGGCGTCAGCGTCAACCGCGAGCGCTCGCCCGTCTTGAACTTCTCGAGCGCCTCCTCGACGCCCGGGCACACGCTGTGCTCGCCGCCCTCGCCCAGCGCGAACGTCAGCTCGCGCTCGTCGAACACGCGGCCGTCCAGGCTGCCGCACAGCGAGACTGCGGGCCGGCGCGGCGTCAGCGGCGGCGCGACGGACCGGGCGGCGCCGACGCGCCGCACTCACCGGCGGCAGAGGCCATCAGCGAGAACGGCACGCGGAAGGATTGACTACGTCGCAGACCGGGACGGCGTGCCTTGCATATCAGTGGTTATATAACACGTGTTTGGCAGCCACGGCTAATTCCAGGGACTCAAAAAGACATCCACGAGAAGAAAAAAAACTGAGGAAGGCTGCCACACGCAAACCAACTTCGTACCCAGCCCACTACGAGATTCCTTCCCCCCCCCCCTTTGGCCGTTATCCCCCCCCCCCTCTCCGAGCCTACGAAAAAATCACCAACCTCTTGCCACTGTCATAGCACACCTGCTGCCACATGACCCACATTTCAAAAGCGCAACAGTCCCGCGCACCTCCTCCTCCGCATCGCCCCGCGACGGCCGACCCTACGCGCCCGCCGCCCGTCAGCGGGCGGGGCCTTACCCTCGACGGTGGCGCCGTCGTTGGGCGTGTCGTAACCGGTGCCCTTCTCCACCTGGCGCCGGACGATGCCCCCGTCCTTCTTGCGCGACAGGTCCTCGCCCTTCCAGTCGAACAGCTCCACTTCGAAGACGAGCGTGGCGCCGGGCGGGATTTTGGGCGGGCTGCCCGTCTCACCGTACGCGTAGGCGGCCTGGCACGTGAGCACGGCCAGCTCGCCGCGCTTCATGGTGGCCACGCCCTGGTCCCACGCCTTGATCACCTGGCCTGCGGGGGCGACACGGCCGGTCACCGAGTGTGAGGAGCAGGCGCCGGCTGCCAGAGCTCAGCGGCGACGTTCCCCAAACGGCGGTAAGCGTCGGTAGCTTACAGTGTCAGTGGTTTAAAGAACTGTAAGGCAGAATATGCATCGCAAGGGAGTTCCTCTCGGCGTGAACTCAGGCAAAGAGAGCTGCCTCGCACCCGAACAGCAACGGGCACGAGTCTGTTAACGTGCGCATTGCTTACCCTGGTCCGTTCGGGGTCAGCTAGCCAGGGTTAGTGGATCTGGGACGGGGCAGCCGTTTCGCACCAAGTCGTCCATTACACATGCACACCAGCCGTCATCCGTCCCATCCGACGGACCAAGGCTGAGGAATTGACCCGCCACAAGAACCGGACGACTTTGAGCAGTGGTTTCAGGGTGCACGACACAGGCTGCTTCCACCGCGTGTGCATCGTGCCATGGCAAACCGTCCAAGCCATCATCGAATGCGTCTATAGCGCAAAGGGCATTTTGAAGCATTTAGTCCCGGCCCGTAATAGGGGGAAAGCGTAAGAACAAGCTGGAAACCGCATCAGTAGTCTTAAAGACTTGGAGGAAAAAAGGATACGTTTGAGAATGGTCAATGAATATTACGCTGCTGAGATGGTTGGTTGACGTTACCCCACAAGCACCGGGCGCAGTCCTCAACACACGGCCGCCTACCTTCTCCCAGCGTGAACTCGAATTTGTCTCCGCGGTCTCGGCTGGAGTCGAACTTGGAGCCGTCGCTGGCGAGCGTGCCCACGTAATGCACGTACACCTTGTCGCCGGACTGGGGCAGCTCGTCACCCGAGCCGGCGCGCTTCACCTCCTTCAGCACGCCGCCGTCGCCGGAGATGTCGACCGCGTCCGGGCCCGGCACGTACGGCTGCGCCACGTCCATGGTCTCCTCGCCCATCTTCAGTTACTTTTGTGACCTGTTGCCAATGCCAGATGTTCAGCACCTGAGGCTACTAGTAATGCTGAATGTGTTGCTTGTGGTACATTTCTACACATAAATAAGGAGTGCTGCAGGTGGCAAAATGTGACTTGAATGGGTCATGTGCAATTATGTAGCATGGCGCATGAAAAATTGATCACTGGAAACAGCCCACACTGCACTGTGGGATTCCATCTAGCAAGCCCATGACTTAGTGCAATCTAACATGAGAACACAAGCTTCCATGGTGTTCAATACATCGAAAGGCACCGCAGCTCATTAAGCAAGCTGATGTAGAGAATAAATTTTGCTGAACCTTGTTATATGCATAAAATGTGTACAAATACAGCATTTCATATGCACTGTTCTCTGCTTAAGCTGATAACTGGTTTTCAGAGGACAGTAGAATCATCAGCTATTGAATTATAGCACGGATCACAGCTGTTCATTGACTGGCAGGCACACCACGAGCCGGCCTGTCCAAAGTAACCATCCTGGTATTGTAGACTGGCAGCAATGGAGGAGGAGGGAAGCCGGTCTATGGCCATGTGTTAGGGGCGACCAATGCACTCCCGTCGGGTGGGTTCGGTCAAAACCAACCGCGTAGTCACCCTCCTATCTTGAATCCCATCATCGCTCTGGGCCATATCATCTGGACCTCCGCAAAGGGGAAGGAAAATGGGTGCAAAAGTTGAGCACACGTACCACCTCGCGAGTATCTTAGCATGGAACACATTATACAGAGCACTGCTTGATAGCCACAGTAGCAGTTTCACCACAAGCCACATTTTGGCTGGCAATCCCGCTTTTGTGGCACTTCGGGGCCCCTGGAGTTGATATCTTCAAACCCGCCAGTGGATCGTGTCACTGGCTGTCCACCTATGTCTGCTGCAAAAGCATGCTCCGTGATGGGGCCCAGCATGTTGATGATAGCATCATTAATTAGTAGCACATAAGCGGAACCATGAACACAGCAGATGTGTGAATTCCAGGTGTGAAAGGGTTCCCAGTTCTTATGACAGGATGTGGGTCAGAGATCCTGACTCATTTTTGAACTGAAATCATGAGCAGTAAGCTTCAGTAAAATATTACTTGCATTGCCAATTGCACATAAAATAACTTTCATCAACTTTTTTTGATGCTATAGGCAGAGAGCAACTGACAGTAAGCATAAACTATGCCAGACAATTCAGACATGAAACTCAATAGCCATTTCTAACATGACCATCTACCAATCACATAAAACATTCCTGGGTTAATTTAATTTTTGGCACATGGCACAACTCACTCACTGGTGAGTCACTGCTATATGTGCTGATAGCAGTCAGATCACATCGAGTCTGCAAGATCAGACTGCGTTTGGTTATGTCCATGCATAATACCAATAAATACTGGCAGGCTTGACAATGTTATTACAACTCCTAGCTGGCTGATGCCACATCATTCATAGTGTTGCACATGCAGGGGCAGGCAGGTTTCATGGAATGTAACCAAAGGGTGACAAGGGGATAAGTGGTTTGAGGTAACATAACTTTAAACTGGTGTCATTGCCCAGTTCGCATAATTGTGCTTAAAAACTGTAAGGCCAGTCATTGTTGCCTTTCTCTTATTGTAATCATCAGGCCTTTCCAACTTGAACCAGCATGATAAGTGACCAAATGGCTTTTACTGACCTAGCACATTATTGAGGAATATCTTATGATGTAACCAGACAGGTGGTTTTCATCCAGCACAGCCAATGTGTAATGGAGAGCAGCACATATTATCATAAAGTGTGTGTAGTGTAAAATGTAATGTATGCTCTTGAGCCTGTATTTCTGGTTTCAATACTACAAAAACATTTTTCATACAAAAATAACCTAATGTGAGCAAGGTTCCATGCACCAATGTTTTTTTTGTGATGCAGTACATGGAATTTTTGCTGACAGGTTCTAAACAACTCATGTCATCAGTTTACAGATTTTCTTTTTCTCTGTCTCCTTACCCATCTCAAGTGTATGACTGGCATAATCATAGATGATTTTGAACTTAATGTACTCAAGGCAAGGCAATTTTGATTATTGTCAGCATCATGTATCACTTGGTATTTCTTACTGGGGCTTTAGGTCTCATATACTGTCACATATTTCAAGAAAGACACCTTTGCTAGGATGGCATGAGGGATATGACAGTGGCGTGACAGCCTCCTGAATCCAAGAACTACAGGCCTAGAGTCAAACGACCTAACAACCGAACCACAACCATCCATAAGTTGTGTATCAACATGTATGTTGACCAACTAGCAATTATTAGCTGTTTGAACACTTAATTCACTGGTGTGCAGGCATAGAACAAAAAATTTTCCATCAGACTAGCTGCAATTCAGACTTAACATTAACCTGGATACTTAATATCCATCCAGGACGCCCCTCCTGCCCGCATTTGACGACCAGCATCGTGGAGGCAGACAACGTCAATCACCCACCGTTGCACACAAAAGAACCCACGTTCGATTCTGAGCAAAACTAGCAGAAATTCAAAAATACGTGCGCAAAATGCATAAAAACACACCTACCGTTATTACACGAAACAGCTCTGACACCCCACTCACACAAGATACCTCGGCAGTTACCGGCACCACGCGACACCCGGGTTATCACACGCGCTTTCCAGCAATTTCCACGCGGCTCGCGATTTCTACAGCTCCGTCGCTACGCCGAGTGTGCGCGACACTCAGCTGACATCCAGCGTTACTACACATATAATGATGTCATAAAAACACAAAATCGCGATTTGTTTGTTTTTGTTGAATGTGATTTATTAAATGAGGTAGGAAAACAGAAGCTTATCTATAGGCACCTCAAACTGCCAACATTGTCCAAACTTTTCTATGCTCTTTTACCGCGACCATTATGGCATTACAGGTGGTTCAAACGAGGGAAAGAGAGGGTGATGACCCGGTCATGCTGCAGCATGACCCGGATTTTTTGTCCACCATATATGGTTTCTGAAAGGAAGTGAAAAATTGGCGTGATGCGCACTTAACGAGCTCTGCGTCCTCCCCCCCCCCCCCCCCCCCCAGATTAAGAGATGCCCGGGGCAATAGCCTCATCGCGCTCCCGCATTTCATCGCGCTCCCGCGTTCCTTGCATTTCTGCCCTTCTGCTGTCGTCATTCTCCTTGCAAAGCTGCATTTTACCATGGTTTGATGCTGGAATTGACCTGTACTTTTATTGCAGCTCTTTCGGGTGATGTCATTTTCATTTTCTTTCCTCATCCGCGCAATACTGGGCACATTTCGAATCCCCACGCCCCCGACCGAAGCCGTCCTTGCCAGTGATCAAAGCCCTTGTGGAGCCGGGGCGGTGGGGTCGGGGTGTCCGTGTTGACAGGGATTGAGCGTAAGGTGATGAATTGAGCAAGGCTGCTGGTCGGTCTTTCACAATGTGATCGGCTGTGAAGTTTCCTTATTCATATGGATTGGTAGAGCTCCAAAACAATATTTCATGATTTTCTGGTGGTTATAGGTGGGTCTAAATTCCTGAGAGAATCAAGTTTAGCATGTTTTTGAGTAGGTTCTCGCATTTTGTTCTGTTTGTCCCCTCAACTTATTTTATAAACCTCACATCCTGTGATCAAGAAGTGCTTGGCTGTTGTCACAGCTCTTAAGAAACCACAATACTGTGTCATTTTTACCTGCATTTTGCTGATGTTTAATACAAAAAAATGCATTCTTGGTAAGTCTCATGGCCTGAAAGAAACTTCCATGCATAACTGGGTCCAGGGTTCTTGCTCTTCCTTAGTGCACTTTCTGATGCACAAGCCCATCCAAGGTGCCTCACCATCCATCAAGTTGCCACACTGCAATCTGTTTCTGGAATATTTTGATATGTGCTTGACTTTCTGATTGCCCCGTGCCCAATAATGGGATGTCTCTCTGCCTGGTGCTAATGTACATGCTTAGTAGTTGGTGATATCTTAATGCTGAATGGTTGTGGAACACAATATTTGGGACATGATGTAATGCTTGGTCATGCAACCAGCTTGGGGCATGATGTGTTGTGATGCATTCTGTTTAGTAGCCATGCATTTCCTTATATTTTGTTGTTCAGGTGGGTGTTTCTATTCAAGGACTGAGACATAGTAAACAGGGGCCCAGGCCCCCAACTTTGCAGAATGTAGCATGCAAATGAAGCCATGGCATGAAATTTCTTCAAAACCTTGAATTTCTCTGTCTCCAAGCATTTAACCTGTACCTTCACCCCTCCACTTCTTATGGAGCTGCCCACACCTCATGTTTAGGGATGGTGTCAGCATGCATAAGTGTGCATGGGTACATACCCATATCTCCTGTGTCAGCCACTGGTAACACCATCCCAGTGTCAGCTGCAGTCATGTATCAGTGGCTGTAGGTCATCAGATAGGGTCAGTTATATGAGGTGCTCATAAGCACTAAACCATTCAAAGGTGTTCTGTGTCATTGTTCTGCTGTGTCACATCCTCTTCTTGTCTTTCCATCCACGCACCCGCGGACAGCTGACATCTTGTGTGTCACGTTCGTCGTCAGCGGGTGTTCGCTGTTTGGACAGCTGGTCGGCCGGCGGGCCTCGCCATGGAAGAGGAGAGCGAGTTTTCCGGCTTCGGCGACCCGGTGGTGACGATCCCAGACGAGCGGAGTTCGAGCTCTGGAGATGACTCACCGGCCGGCCGGATCCTGCAAGGTTGGCGAAAGCCCGCATCCCCAGCTTTGCCGCGTTGTCCCCCGGTGGCCCATGCGACGCACCAGCACTCCTGGACATCCGTCTGGTTTTTATGGGTGTCGTGCCGCTCAACCTCGGCTCACCTGTCACTTACCGGACTGTTGCTCAGCGCGTCGTCTAATACATGGAAATCCACAAACATGTCAAATCCGCGTGAGCTATTCAGTGGCGCAGCCGTCGCCCTCTGTAAACATCGCCGCGGCATCTCCTGGCCACCTGCTGGCGCGGTGCCGCGGCTTGCCGCCACCACGACGGGCGTTGTTTGCGGATCAGCGCGGCGCCCGTCGTCGCGCTGATCGCGAATGCGGTGCGACAGGCGCCGGGCTGCGCGCGTATGCGTGTGACGGGGGATCGATAGGTGCCCCTCTGACCGGGCCGGCCGCTCCCGGTGCGCCGCAGACCCCGCCGCCGCCCGGCTGCTCGCGGCTGGCGGCTACCTGCGTGCGGACCCGGTGCCGGTTCAGGCCCTGCTGCAGCACCTCAGCTCGGCCCTGCCCGACCTGCCCAGGTAAGTGGAGCGTCCCTCGTCATGACCCGGGTGGGAACGGCCTTATGACGAATATCTGCCCGTAGGAATGGCTCTTTGATGAAAGCTGCCTCGCAAGGGAGCTCTCCTTTAAATGTTTTCATTCGAAAACAGCTCTCGGATTGGGATGTCCGCTTGCTTAGAGGTCGTCCTCACGTCCAAACAACAGATACAAGACTTCCTGGCGTCTTCAAGAGCGGGGACATACCCTGTTGTGCCGCTGTCTTCGTGCTCCTCGACCGCCTGTCCGGTCCGTCGTCCCCGCCCCTGCAGTTCCAGGCCTGACTCGGACGCTGCCTCGTCGCCAGGGAGTGGCTGCGCAGCCTGACTCAGGTGCTGGACCCGACTGGCGAGGACGGCGCCGTAACCGAGGCCGTGTTCCGGGAGGCGGTCGGCGCCGTCAGCCGGGCGAACCGAGACCTGCTGCAGCCGTGAGTGGTGCGCGTCAGCCGCGCCGGCGGCGGGGCGGCGAGGTGCAGGCCTCGCGCGCCGGCCGCGCTGTGCTGACCGGTGGCGTTGTCAGGGTCTGCTCCGTGGCTCCCTCGATGCCGGCGCCCGTGTGAATGAGCTGCTGCTGCCGAAACTGTGGTCCTCAAGGTGTCGTTCTGTGTATCCTGCAACCACGCCGCTGGAACGGCGCCGGCTGTGAAGCCCAACCTTCGAACTGCGTGTTAGTGGTGTACTGGCCAGCCTACTACTGACAGGAGGGACGTGGTGTGCGAGCAGCTTCCGCTTCGTCATGGTGACGACCGAAATTTTGACGCCACGTGACAAAACCACCTATTTTGAGATGTATCTTGTCTATGTAGTTAGATAGTGCCACCGCAATGCGCGCCGAAGCCCTCGGTTGGCGGCCGTGTGTGCCTAGTGCTGCCTTCCCTGCGGCCGGCCGTGTTCCGCTCCGCCCGCGCTCTGGCGCTGAGAGCCGGGGCCCGCGTGGCGTCGCCGGCCACCGATGACAGCGGCGGCCCTCGGACCGCAGCGGTGTCATCCGGACACGCCGCCCTCGCTGCCGTCCGGCGCCGGCCGCTCCGACGCCCGCTACAGCGCCGTCAGCAAGGTCTCCTCCCTCGCCATCCTCAGCACGTCGCAGATGGCACAGCCTGAGCAGCTACGGGGGACTCGGACAGCAGTCGTCGCCGTGTAGGTATCGTCGCGGCGTCGACCGTATGCGTACGCGCAGGCATCTCTGTAATGCCTATGTCATAGTGCGTTCTCTTATGCCTTTTTTAACATGGCGGCGGGGACGTAACCTGTGCTTTGTGCCGGTGTATTATGGTGTCGGTAGCAGTCAGCCATAATGTGTTGGTATGTTTCCATTATCAGGCGACTCAGTTGAGATATGTGCGTTTGACTCTGTGGTGCGGAAGCTGTCTGTCCTTACCGGACCATCATTGGGAGTGTTTCTGCTCGCAGTGCGGTCGCGTGACACTGCGTTAGTGCCGGGCGTCACGGCCGCGGTCAGTGACGGAAGTGCCGCCGCGTGCGCTCGCAGCGACGTGCCGGCCCTGGAGAACACCATCGCTCAGCTGGAGCACTCGGCGCGCGCGCTGCAGGAGGAGCGCGACCAGCAGCAGGCGCAGCTGCAGCAGCTGGAGGAGACCAACCTGCAGCTGGCGGCTGCCGTCACGCAGCTGACGGAGAGGAACAGCAGGTCGGTGGACCGCTGGGCTGGCTCCGGCCGCACACGCTCGGGGGTGTTGGCGCTCCAATAGCAGACCGGCTGCTAATGCGTCCCAGATTAACACAATGTGGATACCGGTTCTGCACGAGTGAAATGTCACTTGTTGTCCGTGCCTGGTGTTGACATGGCATCAGCGACCCCTGTTACCCCGCGTTTTGGCGAGTCATTCGCTTCTTGTCCCGAGGTAGAGCCCTGTAATAACGGGTTACCTGCTCACCGCTTCGGATAAGGACACAAACAACAAACAAGTCGCTCCCCGTCCCGTTCGGCGTATTTCGCTACCGCTATAAATGACGTCAAGCGTGGCGTCATGTACACCTCAGCCCCGCAGGGCTTCTGTCAGCAGCGCGCCGTCACGCACTGCTCGGTTTGCGGATACGGGGAAGGGGTCTGGTGTTGCCCTCTCTAAATCAGCCATCAACGCATGGGCTACGCTTAGTTCTTCTTTGGGGGAAGGCATTTGCATCTTAGCATGTTTCCTTAGTCTTGAGTGTCCAGTTTTGTGGGGCATTTGAGAGTCGGTCTGTGTTCGACGTGAGTCTCCAGGTGTTAGTGTCCGGGAGTGTCAGCGGGCTGTCCGAGTGTGTCCGGCATGAGTCTCGAAGGGAGGGTGTGCGGGCGCATCGGGCGCCGTCCTGTGCGTTGGGCGTTGACCTGCGAGCATTGGGCGTGCCCGACGTCTGTGTGTCCGGTTGTGGGGTGTTAGCGTGCTGGGCGTGTTACGTGCCCGAGTCCCCTCCAACGCCGGCTTCCCGGCGTGACGGCGCGCGCGTCGGACCGCGCCTGGCGCGAGTCCGCCGTCCAAGCGTCCCGCCGCGCCGCCAGCCTGACGGCCGAGCTGCAGCGCATCGCCTACCTGCGCGCCGAGTGTGACCGGCTGCAGCAGGAGCTGGAGGCCGAGTCGCTGCAGCGCCCGGCTGGCCGAGCAGACCGCGCACGCCGACCGCCTGCTGACCGCCCAGCAGCACGAGATCGACCAGCTGACACGGCGGGTGGGTGCAGTCGCCGCGCGTCGGTCGGTCCCGCGCCGCCTCCACCGAGTTTTTGTGCCTGGGGAGGGGGGAGGCTGACCCGGTGCCATCCGTGCAAGGTGGTGTGCGTGTGGACGTCAGTTGTAGGTGGTCTACAAAAATTAGGTGCGTTTAAAAAGATATATGGATGTCAAGGGTCCGCCATGCCCCACACCGTTAGTGGCACTAATTGCTCGCCCATTTGAATTCTACTAATAGACTGGTTTCCAAGCAGTACTCAGCGTCGAACTGTGCATCCTATGTGTCCCCGTCACTACATCCACGGCGCACGACTAAGCGCGCGGTGCCCTCGCCCGCCAGCTGAGCACGACGGAGCGCGGGAGCGCGCTCGGGCCGCGGTCGCCGCCCTGGAGACGGCGCGGGAGGAGACCGACTGGCTGCGCCGCGACCTGCAGGACCGCGACGACCGCGAGGCGACCACCCAGCGCACCATGAGCGCCCTGTACGCCACCATCCACGATATGCGCGACACGTCACTGGTGAGCACCGGCCGCCTCACGCCGCGCACGCGTTGCTGGGCTCACTGCTGAAAATGCACTAATACCTTCGGTGAGCATCGATCACTGGAGCTTCAGACTGCGTGCCAAAAAGAGTTAAGGACCTGTTTGATGAAAACAAGGGCGTTGCAGACATCTGTGCGCTAGCAATCACCACAGCACAGACAGAAAACGATTTTTTTCATTTGTCAAGCAGCACCTCTGCGTCCTGGCTGCCGCCGCGGGTGGAGTGGAGTGTTGTAGTGCGCACCTCCAGCGTCAGTGGGCCGGCTCGGTCGCCTGACCGGCGGGCGTCTCCCCGGCCGGCCGGCAGACACTGCAGGAGGAGAAGGCGCGCTTCAGCGACGAGCTGAGCAGCGTCAAGAAGCAGCTCAGCTCCCTGCAGAAGACCAGGGCCGAGCGCGCCTCCCCCTCCGTCAACGGCTCCATCCACGACGAGATTATCAACACGGTGAGATACGGCGCCGTGCCGGGTTGCCGGCACCACGTGCCGTTCCCAGCGATGGCTGGCGGCGACGAATGTGACCGCGACAGCAGCGCGTGCTCTTCATAGGCGATTCGGTGAATGCAGAACGCTGGATAACTATCTGCGAAAAGCTCCATCACTTCATGTCCACCCAGCTCCCGTGTTTAGTGATTTCACGTGACGGTGAGAATGGTTGACGGTTGGTAGGCTTTCCTTTTTGTGTTGATCACTCCCAGACTTGGGACTGCGGTGCCCCGCGGCATTCCGACGACGGTTGACCCGTCGCGCCGGCCCGAACTGAGCTGACCTGACCGGCACTGGCAGATCCAGACGACCGGCGACGGCGATCCGGTGCTGCCGCTGTCCGGCATCGCGTCCCCCGAGCTGGTGCAGGCCATCTGCGCCAGCCCGCTCAACCTGCACTTCAAGGTCAGTGAGAGCGCGCCAGCCAGCGTCGGGCGGTGCCACCCGGCGTCACAGAGTGGCTTCCTAATGACCCAACGCAGCTGATTCCTGCATATTCACCAGGCTGCGCGTCGTTGCGAGGCCGCGTCAGACCGGCGGGCTTATTGAGCTTTGGTCGTGGTTTGTGGGGTTAGATATGGCCTCGCATGCAGTCGACGGAGACACCGAGACTAGATTAAGCCCAAGCGGCTATCTGCCATGGGCAATCCTTTCACCAGAACTAGCAGATAGCGAGATCACCTCGCTCCCTTGCTCGCCCGCTCGCTCCCCCCTGTCGCCGTGTGTGGCCTGCACGCAGTCGCCTGTCCACTGTCTCCGTGTTTCCAGACGTCCGAGCTGTATACCGCCGGTCCATAAACTCCTGCTCCCTGATAACTCCCTGTGATGCTGCTGTGCACTCTCTTCTGTCGCCTTGTGTGGCGTAAGCGCAGTCGCCTGTCCACTGCTGCCGTGTTCCCAGACGCTGCCGCGCCGTCTGCTGATCAGCACGCCGCGTGCGCCTCTGGCCGAGGAGGAGTCCTCGGAGTGGAGGAGCGGTACTCCTCTGCCGCCTCTGACTCCTACGGTTAGTCGGACAGACACAGCCAGACAGTCGGGGGGGGTTGTTTTTCCGAGGTATCTGACGGGTGCGACTCCCAACGAGTGTGAAACGCCCAGCAGGGCCGGTGGCCTTGGGTTTACGAAGCTGTTATCCCATGTTGACGCATTGTCTATGGGGTATGGTGATAAGCTCGTCACATTTCGCTTAAGCGTTGCTTGCCTTCTGCTGAGAATGCCGGTCACCCGTCAGTGGGGCTTCAAGCGGATGGTGAACAGCTGCTGTCCTTTCGATGACGTTTATTCGATACGCCTCTTCCGGACTGAGGTTAAACATTTGTAAGCATGTGTGAAATTCCAACCGCTACGCATAGCGGTCTGGATGCATGCAATAAGAAATGTGATTTGTCAACGCGAGGTTTGGAAATGTCATTCAGTTTGTTATTCAGTGTATTTCAGCAATAGCATATGCTACTGCGTCCTGCTTTGTGTATGGTTTGACGTCGTTTAGTATATTTCAACGTCCTCATGCTTCAAGACCTATTAAACGCCTGTGTTTTTCACGTGCCACATAGAAAATTCCGGCTTTTCACCTATCATGACATGTTTTTGTTAGTCATTTGCCGTTTCCGCCGCAGTTGGCTATCGTGCGAATGGGGGTTAGGCAGGTAAAAGGGACACCACATAGCCCTCGTATTCGCGCATGTTGAAGGCTTACTTTTATAGGGGAATTACAACGGAGTGAACGGCTAGCA